GTTCACCCACTGAAACAAACTTGATGAAGTGCGCATTTCCTTTTAGCATTATCGTTAAAAGGTCGTTTGCCACTGTAGAAGATAGTTGGCTAAATTTTAGACTGATGCCTTGCCTTATGGAGAGAGAGAGAGAGAGAGAGAGAGAGAGAGAGAGAGAGAGGAGAGGGGTCAATTTCCTTCTCAAAAAATCGTCACTATCGAACACAAGCCAGCTAAATTTGTCCCAGTTTCAATCCCCAATTCCTGTCAGAAAACATCCTAACTCTGGTCGAGAAAAAGGATCTTTTCTTGCTTGAAAGAATAAGACATCCCAAAGGTCGCTAAACTTTGAAAGCTTGGCCATATTTGAAGATGAACGACCCCACTAGATAGAGACTGCGTCGTTACGGGATTTTGTTTTCGAATAAAAGTCCACGTGAATCAATCTTGAGCGAGCGCAGCCACGGTTTTTATCGACAAGTCATATCTTTATGGGGAATATTGTGATCAAACGAACCGATAGTTTCGTCACACATCGCTAGATGAAATACTCGAACAGGGAATCGGGCGGTCAGTTTTAGCATATCTATTAGATAAACTGCATGGTGTTTCATTCTCCTGATATAGTTGTATGTCAACATTATTGCTTTCTGCAGATATGCATGTAGATGTATAGTAGGAGTTTGCACTCATTCCTAGGATAGTCGTAAATGTATAGTGCTAGATCCTAGATCACGAAACATCTGAAATAACAAAAGTACCACCTGTTGGCTCCATTTTTTAAAAACAAATATACACAAAGCCTGCGTTATGGAGTAACTTTAGATAAATGCACATATTTTCTGTAGTTATGGAATAGAAATAAATATCTGCTTATTTCTTCGTTTACAGTATAGAACGGAAAATTATCTTGACTTGATTCAATTAACAATGTATTGTAGAATTTGTATTGCCCCTCCCTTCGCCTGCATGGATTTATTTATTTATTTATTTATTTATTTATTTATTTATTTATTTATTTATTTATTCAGAATGGTAGTGACTAATAGTGCCCCTTTTTCTTAGTCATCCTACGGTTGTCTTAACCAATCAAACTTTGTATCCAAAACGGTCAATCTTGTGACATGAGAAACGGTCACTTTTAAAGATTTTGCTATGTGGTGAACCAAGGAAGTAGATATATCCACTTTAGTCCTATGGTCCAATGCCTTGTTCCACAAAACACTTGAGACCGAAATTTGGTCTTAACTTTAAAAACCAAAGTTGTTGTCTACTTCAATTAAGAATAAATCCTTGGCCGTCTACTGGAATTAGGTAACTATTTGTTTAATACAGAAGCCAATAGTTTCTTATGATAAAACTGGCACAATATCTGATTTAAACAAACTGCTGATTATCCCAGATTCGGGACAGTAGTGACCGAGATGACCTCATTCAAAGTCATTATTGGCATAAAATGAGGTCTGAGTAGACCATCATGGTGGTCTAAAAGTTAAGACCGACCTTCGGTCTAAAGTCCTCGTGTGAACCCGCCCTAACATCTTATCACCATTTCTGCACTTTTCCCCAACAACAAACATATTGGTCACTGGCAGGAAGCTTTGTTTTATATGGCCAAACATAGTTTGTGGTCATACAGATGTGTAGGTCAAGTAAAAAAGGATTTTAAATGGAGGGTACGAAGGCAGTCCGTTGTTAAAGATAATAAACAGTTTCTTGTACACATTCCCTACAGGGTGTAATACATGATTCAGAGTAGGAAATGAACAGACACTTTTAAAAAAGGCACACAACGTTTTCATGAAAGAAAGTCGAAGATGGTAGTCTCAGTGTTGATATGATACACAGAGCAATGATACATTACAGTATTGTGATGTCGTCACCCTGAGTTAGAAAGATAACTGGAACCCAATTTGTAGGCAAATGAGGCATGTTGTTAATAGAGATCAGTTTCCAGTCTACATGCAAACCTCAGGGTGAATGTTATTAGCCTAACTAATATTCTTCTGTCACAGATGATTTGCTGCGGTCATTGGATGAAATTTGAAGGACAGATAATCAAAGTACTGATCCTGTCCAGATTGGTTTTGATTAAAACCGTTTTAGCTGTAAATCCTATAGATAATGGAAATTGTAATATCCCCTTTATGATCAAGTTTTTTGAAAATAAATAAAAAAACAAATGAATAAATAAATAAATATAGTCTTCGAAGGAGATTCGTGTCATGAAACGGGAAACCCCGTTATACGCTGTAGCTGCAACTTTAGGGAGAAAACGCTTGATCAAAGACAATGAATTGGCTCTATCTCAGTTTTTCTTTAAAAGATTATATTAAAAATACTGGTCGAGTTATGCTAAGGAAGAGCACTAGAATAAATCAGTGGACGAAAAAACCTTTCTTATTTTAACACGTGGGCGCCCTAAAGCTTTGGTGGTACATTTTATCCTCTGGTCCCTCCTCTCCATTCCTAAAAAGACGAGCAAAACGAGACAAAACCAAGCAATTTGTCCATTCTTGTGCCCTAAATATCATAGTACATTGTTCTAATGTGTTATTTAGCGAGCAAAAGTAAAAATCCTCTATTCGCCTGTGTGTTGAGGCAAAGCCGTACAAAGCACTTGTCCGACGACTGACCCCGTTACTGACCAAAACATACTTATTGTTGTTGCTTAGAGGAGTAATCTCATTACATTATTTGTTCTCCATTAAAGTTAATTTGTTCTCTGCTGGATGCAGCAGTTGTAAAATCTAGTACGATGATGCCAATTTTCCTGCTGCTTTGACATGAATTCTGTCATTTTGCTCTTGCCAAAAGTGGATGACGTGGGGATTAGGTTGTAGGACCCTCAAATCCAGAGCATAATGGTTGCTACTTTAGTTTAGCAGTCCCACGGCCTCTGCCACTCTGAATTTTAGGGTTCTGACCGCGACTTTGTTTTTACACCTCATATTCTCTCCGTCACCCTGTGTTTCAGGGTGCCACGTTGACTTTCTTTTTACCCATCGCCCTGAGTTTCAGTGCTGTGACAGTAACTCGCCTCTACTCAGTAGGCTCTCCGCTACCGTTGACTTTCTTCTCACCCATCGCCCTGGGTTTCAGTGCTGTGACAGTAACTCGCTTCTACCCAGTAGGCTCTCCGCTACCGTTCCAGAGGCCGGATGATACAGGCGCGCCAAGTATTCCCAAGACATTTAATTGCAACCAAATCAGATGCCGTTTTCACAAAATAACTGAACTAAAAAAATTGCTGGCGATTTTTTAGACTAAAAATCAGGTCTAGTTCTGTTCAAGATACAATCCCCGGTAGTCCACCTATAGATAACATAATTATAGCTCTGAGATATAAGCAATATCTTCCTTGCTTTAAAACAGTCGCAATAGTTCATTTAATTGGACTGCTTCAGGTTTATCGTGTGTTAAAGAAAACACAAACCGTGGCCTTAAAGTGGAGTAATTCTGATAATGGTTTGAGTTAAAAACAAAAATGGCTAAGGTATCTTTTTTCCGCATGACGTTGTAATAACCGATGGTGAGGAAAACTAATAGAACCCGACTGCAATTTATTAATCTGATACAAATTGGAGGTTTGGAAAGATCATTTCTCAGTATAATCTACTTCTGATGTAATATTATCTCTTGATGGAATGGATAATTCACGAGAAATTACAGTTAGCCTTACCCTGTGCCGACATGAACCAAACGTGTTTACAGGAAAACAACATATATGTTCACATATATCCCCTTGCATGGATTACAATGTGTCCTTGTGTAAGCTAATAAAACCAATTTGGCATAAGGATTGGTGACAATTTTTTGATATTGACCAATTTGTTATTGCGCACATGACGATTATTATTACAATGAACTTATTTTGCTCACTCCGTAATCCGGCCTTGTGCGAATGTATATCTTTTTTTTTTTTTTTTTTTGTGCATGTATACCATCTCTGCGAATTTGTCTAAATTACGATGCTAGCGAGTCGATTGTTTAGTTTCTCTATTATAAACATTTATTCGTCCGCGTAATTGATGGGCAAAGTTCCTGTCATTTTGTGAGATACTGCACGAGGGTCAATAAGGAAAAACATCAATAAAACACCGCAAAGTACCGCCTAATGAGCAATATAATGAATGGATATTAAACAGCTCTCCATTTAAAACGACACATTCGATCGCCGTTGATTTAATAAACAGAAAGAGCGGAAGGGGTCGAATTACGATAACGTATGGTTATGAAGGCTTCAGGTAAAGGTGAAAATGCAAAGTGATATTAGCAGTGGGACACAGTAGGGTGCATGTTTTCCAGATATATGCTTCGCAAAGTTCAGCTTATGATTATGAGATCATAGATTACCATCCTTATGTAGAATGGCAGCCGGAATCTATAGGGGGCCTTTGGTCAAAATGCCTAATTTTCGCATAAATATGCCACCAGCAACGTGGAATAGTAGTTATCGTACTGTTTCTCCACAGCTGCATGACTAGTCAGTTTTCAAATACCCTGCTCTTCTCGCAGACTGCTTCGCGTACCGCAGACGATCTTAAAAAATGTCCGGGAAGTGAAGGGTGTTGTAGTATGGCTTCACACATGAGAAAACTGCATACATCGGGTACAATGTATGAAGCTTGGGACATTTGTGCAAAGTGAGATTTCTAGAAAATTGCCCTGTGTAATTTAGCTGTCAAACATTAGCTAGTGTGTTGACTTAATAGATGACTTTACTACTTATCTGCCGTAACGCATTTCAAAAAGTGACAGTACATTGTGTTGGAAGTACCGACGCATTTCCGTTGTTCCAGCGTATCTCAACTACCACAGCTTGTCAATAGTCCCGTTATTCCTTTCTTTCTTGTATTTTGATGTTTTTCTTCCGAATTCTATCTTCGATCTATTTTTAAATCCTCAAACGGATAAAAGATAGGAGTGGACCAAAAAGAACGGGATTTGTTTAGCTTGACGAAACCCCGGCCCACTCCTTTTCATGTTTTAAAACTTTCTTCTACTGTTTTGTATTGTAGGTGATGCAATTCGGTGCTATATTTGTCATTCTGGAATGCTTGCCGGCTGTAAGGACACATTTGACTTCAGTAGACTTGCTAGAGCATCTGCCTCCTTGGATATGGAGCCGTTTGTAGAGTGTGAATACGGGTGCCAGAAAAGCAAGACACAGTCTGGAGGTATGTTCTCATCCCCCACCCTTCTCTCTCTCCTTCTCTCCTCTCTCTCTCTCTCTCTCTCTCTCTCTCACACACACACACACACACACACAGACACACACACACAGACACACACACACACTCAGTGACGTATAGGCCTACACACGCACGCACACACATGCAGACCTCGCAAACACCTGTCTGTATGCGCGCGCACAGGCATTTCGTCCGTCAGACGTACATGTGCGTGTGGAGTATTTTTCTTTCATTGTGTGATAATCTTTCGAACTGTAATAAACAATATCTGGTACACAGTTAAGTAAGCTGCAATAGTATGACCTACGGTTGGAAGTCAAATACTAGTACATGTATGTTCGTGGATCTCGCGGGATACCAAAAAATAAATAAATAGATTTAAAAAAAACTTCATGGGAATGACACACTTCTAGATTTTCAAACTGTTCACTTGACTAAATCTATTTATTTATTTATTTATTATCGTTATTTTCCTTTTTTTTGCAGACTATTCCCTGGTGCTACGTGGCTGCGCATTAGGAGTACAAGATCATGGTTGCCAGTACATGCAAGCGAAAGGCGCAGATATGTGGTTTTGTTACTGCAATTCAGAACTATGCAACTCGGCTCAACACAGGACTGCCAACTTATGGTGCTATTTGCTCGCCATAGCAACTTGTATACTCATAATATACAGAAGAACATGATGGTATAAACTAATATATATTTTAATTACATGATAATTGATATGTATACAGTACAAGCGGAAAAGACAAATGGAAGCTCTTCTATGGAGGAGCGTAAAGATTATGGGAGTTATGGCACGTGTCCTAAAAGAGGTCAGCATTTTATGGTAAAGTTAGCGGGTTTCAAAATTTCCTGCAGTTAGGACGGATTACAGTAGTTGCTGTAGATGAGCACCGACGATCAATTCCATCTGGGTTTGAGACTTAAATTCATTTGAGAAGCTTTTTTTTTCAAAACAAATACTTTTTCACAGAGAAAGTTATAGACTGTTTGATGTGTGTCGATGAAATCTGGCAAAATCGCGATTGATTTTAGACTAGTGGGACTTCTGGTTACCTTTTATGTCCCCTTATTACAAATGTAAACTTTAGCATCGATTTGACAGTAATGTGTGTGTGAGTTGCGGGGTTGCCAAACATATGATATGGGCATTGAGGGCTGTCCCCTAATGGATGGATATACAGATTAACTGGGGAATAATCGAATGTTTCGATACGCCAAATGACCCGTGCAGAGTCTGTGACCTGCCCGTTGATGCTGTAAAAGGGGGAAAAAGACGCCAGACTTTTGACGCTAAAAAGACAAACGTCCCTATTATTTTATCGGTAGTGTTGTAAACCAAAGAATTCATATTTGTTGACACATTCCTTGCCACGTTGACCATTCATCACGGACATCTGGGTCCAGAATCTCTAGAAAATATCCCGAGTCCTCTTATTATTAATATTCATTATCTCTGTTTTAGGCTTAAACTGTTAACCATCCACTTCATTCTTTTTATCTCTTTCGATGCCAAAGAAGAGCATAGAATATTTGCTCATTGCCGAAAACGCTATTTTCAGATATATTCACTACCAGGTATAATCTTGTTCATTTCAGTGATTTTGTATTACTCACGTGAAAGTAGAAATAGTGCCGAAAAATTCATATTGTATTAAATATATTTTTGTCATTTCGCCTCTCATTCCCTTGAAATGTTTAATTTTATTTGATTTTTGTCTTGCTTATCATTAAGTTTGCCAACCGAATTACCAATTACCAATAATCTGATTTACAAATTGCACGTATAACTTTTCCTTACAAAAAGAGTAGCAATACGCATTTAATCAACATGTCTTTGTCTACCTATGGTGTGATTCAGTGTACAAAGTATGTTCAAACCTTTCTCTTACATTGTATCAGGCATGTATAGACTCATATTGGAGAATCACTTTCCTAAGATAGAAAAAATAAATCAGATAATTTCGTATTTTATTGACTTCTTTTCTATACCAGTATCCCTTTCGCTGAATTTTTATCTGCGGAGCAGCTTAGAAGGCCTATAGGTCGTAAATTTCGTAAATTTAATACCGGGCCCTTTCCTTTTCGCAGGTAGTTGCTCGAACATGTTTTATGTCCGGATCGCAAGCTTGCTGATAGAAAGTTGAATGACGAAGGGATATGTACAAATGCAAGACTACCATGACACCGCCCTCTCCTTGGCTGGACCGTAAATGAATTTACTAGTACATGTACTTCTGCCGATATGTCTTTATAGAATCTAAGCAAAACGAATCCCACTGACGTGTAAATGGGTAAGTTCCAAAATTATTTTTGTATTGATTGAGAAATAAAGGCAGTCGATTAAATTTATGGGCCGAACTCGGTGTGTTGGGTGCATGTCGACTCAGCTAATTAGAAAATTCATTGATATTTTGGTGGTTTTGAATTTGTTTGAAATACTTAACTAAACAGAAACATCAGAATTTATAGACAAACTATTGAAATATCATTTTTCACATTGGCGTACATCACTAAAATGTCTAAAAAAGAAATTGTCTCAAACTCATTTCAACCACGTCAGCTTATCAGGACCAATTCGTAAGCCTCAAGGACTGAGAGGAAAATATTTTTTAAAATAAGATGAATTATTTAAAAATAAAAACGTGTGCTTAATAAAAACGTGTGACTGCTATCGTCACTGGGTAGTGACACATGTAGCGGGGAACAGACCTGGAGCAAATGGGTCGTCTGCTGTTCTTACAACGAAGAGGCATATATATACTTTCATATATACAATAATATTTATTAAGATCCCATGGGAACTTCAGATATAAGAAAAGTATCAATCTTAAAAGAGAGAGAGAAAAATAAAAAACAGAATCTCAAAAATGAAGTAAAAAAAAATTCGAAAAAAATTTTCGAATCCAAGTTGCACATGTACCTCTCAACATACAAGGGTGCGTATTATATCAAAAATAAATAAATAAATAAATAAATAAAGTTTCGGATGTTTTGACATCCTTCAATCAAACAATCGTTTTTAAGAATCTTGCACTGTGCAACATAAGCACACGTGCAGTTCGGCATTCTCTTCATATTTACGAGTGACACCACCGCTGTATTGCAACGGTGCAAAGGGTCTCCTTATAAATGTGAAAGCGTCTTAAGACTTCTTTTCATATCAATCTCTAATTCCTGAATGTCAGAAGGAAATGTCTGTTTTGAAAAACCAGAATGCCTTCGATGTTACATCTTTTTTGTTCATTTTTTAAAAATTAAAATATACACGGTTTCATCCGGGATAGCAGAATCGATTTTAAATCCCAGATAATTCCTTTTCATTTCAAGCGCAATCACTGTCACAGTTGTATCACATAAAATCTCTATAACTTATCTGCAATAGAACCTCTTATGAAAGCACAAAGAGAGTAAAAGCAGTCATAACAACTGTCGAAAACAACGAGACGGCATCAGCCGAGATGGCAGAAGCTCCTGATCGTCTGCCGCCACAACTCCTGCTGTTGCATATGATCCTTATCCTTCCGTTACTGTCTCTCCCAATAATGCTACTACCACCGGCATCCTTGGGTGGCGCTTCTGTAGTCGTCGTCGTCGTTGTCGTCGTCGTACTGGGCTCTGGGGCGTCCGTACGTGGTGGCTCCGTGTCCCTTGGGGGTTCTTCCCGTGGTGGGGCGACGTACTGAGTTGTTGCCGCAGGGCGCCTGGTGGTGGTTTGTTGGGGAGCAGGCGGTGGTTGTGCACGTCGTGTTGTTGTTGTGCGTGGTCTGGGGGCCCTGGTGACAGGGGGTTGTGTGGGAGGGGGTGTCGTTGTACGGGGTTTACGGGTTGTGGTCCTGGGGCGAACGGCAGAGGGGGTGGTGGGGGGTGGGGTGGTGCGTCTCCACCATGGGACTGCAGTGGTGCCTACAAATTAAATAAACAGATTGGATCTATTAAATGGCCTGTATTCATTTATGAGATTGCACTCAGTTATTGAAAGTATTCAAAGGGATTCCAAATTTAATCTCTTACTGCAATAACAGAACATTTTTTTGTAAGCGAAAATCATTATTGTTGCACGAAACGCATTTTAACAAGTCTTCAATCTCGGTATCTATTTTGACTTAAAATAGGCGCAAAACACGGCGCAAAACATAAATGCGTGTTATACGTAAGTAATATGCGTGTTATACGTACCAGCAATACGCAATCCGTCCTTGCAGTCCTTCACATTGGCCGTGACGTCACAGGTCAGGATCAGAGGGTTGAAGACCGTGCCACCAGGACAGAGGTTGATACTGCGGAAGCCATTGTTACACGTGTAGTAGACGGTGCAGTTGGTGTCATGGCGGATCTTCTCTCCGTCTCTTGCACAAGGCCAGCCGCTGGTGGTTGGTCGTGGCGTCGTGGTTGTGGTCGTGGTTGTGGTTGTGGCTGGGAGAGAAATCAGGAAGGTATTTAATTTAAAAAAAGTGTTCATAGTTGGGCATTATCAACTATATGANGTTGCACATGTACCTCTCAACATACAAGGGTGCGTATTATATCAAAAATAAATAAATAAATAAATAAATAAAGTTTCGGATGTTTTGACATCCTTCAATCAAACAATCGTTTTTAAGAATCTTGCACTGTGCAACATAAGCACACGTGCAGTTCGGCATTCTCTTCATATTTACGAGTGACACCACCGCTGTATTGCAACGGTGCAAAGGGTCTCCTTATAAATGTGAAAGCGTCTTAAGACTTCTTTTCATATCAATCTCTAATTCCTGAATGTCAGAAGGAAATGTCTGTTTTGAAAAACCAGAATGCCTTCGATGTTACATCTTTTTTGTTCATTTTTTAAAAATTAAAATATACACGGTTTCATCCGGGATAGCAGAATCGATTTTAAATCCCAGATAATTCCTTTTCATTTCAAGCGCAATCACTGTCACAGTTGTATCACATAAAATCTCTATAACTTATCTGCAATAGAACCTCTTATGAAAGCACAAAGAGAGTAAAAGCAGTCATAACAACTGTCGAAAACAACGAGACAGCATCAGCCGAGATGGCAGAAGCTCCTGATCGTCTGCCGCCACAACTCCTGCTGTTGCATATGATCCTTATCCTTCCGTTACTGTCTCTCCCAATAATGCTACTACCACCGGCATCCTTGGGTGGCGCTTCTGTAGTCGTCGTCGTCGTTGTCGTCGTCGTACTGGGCTCTGGGGCGTCCGTACGTGGTGGCTCCGTGTCCCTTGGGGGTTCTTCCCGTGGTGGGGCGACGTACTGAGTTGTTGCCGCAGGGCGCCTGGTGGTGGTTTGTTGGGGAGCAGGCGGTGGTTGTGCACGTCGTGTTGTTGTTGTGCGTGGTCTGGGGGCCCTGGTGACAGGGGGTTGTGTGGGAGGGGGTGTCGTTGTACGGGGTTTACGGGTTGTGGTCCTGGGGCGAACGGCAGAGGGGGTGGTGGGGGGTGGGGTGGTGCGTCTCCACCATGGGACTGCAGTGGTGCCTACAAATTAAATAAACAGATTGGATCTATTAAATGGCCTGTATTCATTTATGAGATTGCACTCAGTTATTGAAAGTATTCAAAGGGATTCCAAATTTAATCTCTTACTGCAATAACAGAACATTTTTTTGTAAGCGAAAATCATTATTGTTGCACGAAACGCATTTTAACAAGTCTTCAATCTCGGTATCTATTTTGACTTAAAATAGGCGCAAAACACGGCGCAAAACATAAATGCGTGTTATACGTAAGTAATATGCGTGTTATACGTACCAGCAATACGCAATCCGTCCTTGCAGTCCTTCACATTGGCCGTGACGTCACAGGTCAGGATCAGAGGGTTGAAGACCGTGCCACCAGGACAGAGGTTGATACTGCGGAAGCCATTGTTACACGTGTAGTAGACGGTGCAGTTGGTGTCATGGCGGATCTTCTCTCCGTCTCTTGCACAAGGCCAGCCGCTGGTGGTTGGTCGTGGCGTCGTGGTTGTGGTCGTGGTTGTGGTTGTGGCTGGGAGAGAAATCAGGAAGGTATTTAATTTAAAAAAAGTGTTCATAGTTGGGCATTATCAACTATATGAGAGAGAGAGAGTGAGTGAGAGAGAGAGAGACAGAGAGAGATGGAAAGTGATACGTTTAAAAAGCACTCCCATCAGTCATCATTACTTCAAGTGGCAATATCATTCTTTGAAATAAACGTGTAACTTTTAAAACGCTATCTTTCAATACTTACACGTCGGGGTAATGGGTTTCACTCCCTCACAGTAGGGGTTTCCAGAGTTATGCACACACTGTTTCACCTCGGGGTGGAAAGTGTACCCGTCATAAAAACACTCTTTGATGGTGGCAAACCCGCTGGCGCACTCCCAGAACTTCCGGCAGTCTTCGCCATTTCTAAACAGGCCGTTGGATGGACAGGTGAATTCCCCTGTGCTGTCAGTGACCAATTGGCCGACGGGTGTTGGTTTGGGTGTGGTAGTTGCTAAAGAATAAAGTACAATTAATATTATGTTCTTCAAGCGATCAGCAGTGATGTGTTTTAGAAGTATCACATTCGTTTCTTATATCCACATTGTGATTGGACCCAGGTTCTCTAGAGCCAAAAAGGAAAAAAAATGTGACCGTTTTCGATGTGCACTCCAATAAAAGCCATTACAAAAAGTGGCTGATTCTTTATACATACAGACATATTCCATCGAGTCTCGTCATGTGCAAACAGAATAAGTGCCTTATGACTAATTGCCTAACAGAACCATCACCTTCCTCCCACACTTTTTCAAACTTCTTTCCCACAAGTTGAGAACTAAGGGCCTATGAATGACAAAGTTGAACCCCCCATCTCTTCCCTCAGAAAACATCTCAAACAAACTCTAGTATCTTACTTGGAATTGGTGAGGCATATCTATTTCCCTCGGCGTCACAGTCGGTGACCTGGGCCGCCGGTCGACACCCTCCCTCCGTGGCAAAAGTCTTCGGGGGACATGAGTAAAGCCTCCTTGAAGCCTTCCCCTTTTGACACGAGTACCAGCGGGCACACTCAAAGGGGTGAGGCACGAAGAACTTGTCCGGTTCAGGACAGCCAAGTCTCCTGCGTCCGTCGGGAAAACAGTCGTCAATGACGTTGCCGGGGGAGTCGCAGAATTGCCCCATAGCGTTGAAGAAGCCCCCGTTGTTACAAATACCGAACGTGTATTTCTTGTTGAGGCACTGGTGGTACACTCTGCAGTCTCTGGGATCTTTGTACCATCCGCTCTTTGCGACGGTGGTGCAGTCGACGGGGGATGGGTATTTGGCAGGGTCAAACTGGGGCCCCGTGGTGGTGGGTGGGGGTGGGCGAGGGGTGGTTGTAGTTGTTGTTGTGGTGGTGGTTGCCCGCGTGGTTGTGGTTGTCGATGATGTGGTTGTGAGGGGCGTAGTGGTTGGAGCTGGAAAATGAAAAATAAAATTTTCAGTTAACGAGTTGAATGAGTTGAGCAAAAACACCGTAAGAAAATTCGGTCCTCAAAGGTATATTCATATAGCTCTTTCGCATCAGTGCCCCTGAACATCCGGAAAACGTAATAATAACAAAACAAATGGATATTTTTACTTTAAAAATGATACCATAGATATTGCAACCTTCTTTTCTGACATGGGCACAATGAGCTTTTTTAAAAGTTAAAGTATAGGGGAGGTAAAATAGTTATACCAGTAAATCATCAGGCAAAATATAACATTTAACTTCTTTGTTAATAAACTAAAGCATACTCACGTGGTTTTGTTGCCACTTCGCAGGATGCAGTGTTATTTCTCTCGTCACAATGGCCTCCCCATTCGCCGTCGGGGTTGTACACGAGGTTTCCCATGCAGCGTTTTTCCAAAACCTGAAAGATATTTCGTAAATGCATAATCCGTGTTAACTTTTAATAGCGAATATCTTTCATAATTTTCCGAGTTTTTGTCCTTAAAAATTAGTCGCGCGATTCTTCTTTAACTCATGCAACATTGTTTGTCAACAATTTCTAGGTAAAAAATCTTTGGAGTAATCAGCCTTTTACTTTTTTCAGGCTATTTCCCCTGCACAATACCTGCGCGACAAAATAATAGTTCATTATAACACACTGTTTAAATATCTCGTGGCATAATGGCAAAAACAACTCTTTGTCCCGTTTGTTGGAGGATTTTTTTTTTCATTGTATGATATGCAAGTGTATTCGCTTTTATACAGATAACTCCATTCTAATCTTTTTGTACCTGAGATCCGGCGTATATACACTGGTAGTAGACAGCACTGCAGCCTACTGGGTCTGGGAAAATACCTTCTTGCCCCTTGCAATCATAGACAGGTGGCGTTGTGGGTGCAGGCGTGGTAGTGGTGGTGGTGGTAGTTGTCTTAGCTGATGAAAAAATTCAGAAACCTTTTAATTAATGACAAAATTTCACGTAGACATATGTTCACAACCGAACCATCTCAGGTCGGAAAATTGACTATGTGACATCATAAAATGTGACGTCAGCAAGACTTTTTTAGTACTCCCTTTTTAAGCAAGCCATTAGAAAAGTGAAGATCGTTTATCGATTAAAAAATCCACTCCCTCATCACCCTTCAAACAGCCCTTCTGATTAAACCCCGTCCAAAAGAGTGAAGAATGACATTTCCATTGAAATGTGTGCTCTCACCTTCCCAGCGGATTCCCGTCCTGCTGTCACACTCATCTCGCAGGTTGAACTTATTGACACAGGTGCCTCGAACCTTACTGAACCATTGTTGGCTGTCAGGACAACTGCGCTCAGTGAATTCCCAGTTGGTACAGATGAAAAAGGAATCGCATCTGAATGGGAAAATAAGCAAGTTCTAACTGTACATGTAGGTTCGTGTGCGCATACTAGTAGTAGTACAAGTAGGAGTAAATGAAGTGATAGTTAAAGTTTACTGTGACGCCCTCGCGCGCGCGCACATACAGAGAGAGAGAGAGAGAGAGAGAGAGAGAGAGAAGGATTTTCGACACACCTACCTTATAGGATGATGATGGAATCCAGTCTTGCCGTCTGGGCAGAGGAAGAGCGGCGTGGTAGTTGTGGTAGTTGGGATTGGAGTGGTTGTGGTTGTGGTGGTCGTAGTGGTCGTAGTTCTGAACACAAATGTGTAAGGTGCCCTGGTCGTAGTGGTTGTGGTCGTGTAGCCGGCTGGGGATAGATAAACGAAGGGAACTTAAGTGAGAATGAATTACATATATCATTTCAGGTTAATAAAACTAATTGCCAAATGCAATACGATTTGTTATTTTCAAGTGACCATAGAAATGAGCACAAACACATGTGCATTTGTTAAAAAGGAAACCAACTGTAGACACGATTTCCTGTCGGAAACAATGTTCTCTCGTGTAAATATACTTACGCCATGTCACTCTCGCTCCCCAAGGCGTGCATTCCTTCGTAGAGTTTCGGTAAGGCGCACAGCGGAGATCCTTTTCGCTGTAATGGAACCCGCTTGGGCAGACTGTCAGTGAGTATTTCCCGCCAAAACAAAGGAACAGACGAGTGCAGTCAGGGTGAGGGTTGGAACTGAACGCTGCATCCGGGCATTTCCAATCTCTCGGTGCTGCAAAGTTTGAATTACACGTGATTTAGATGGAAAAATGTTTTTGTAAAATGGAAACCACAACAGCATGATCCCGAAAATGAACAGGAAAAAACGCAGAAAAAATACATAATATGTATTTGCCTTCTCTTCTCTCTAATCTTATCCAACATCATTCATATTTCAAACGTAATCTTCCCATACACTGTCAAATGATCAAAAATGATCATAACTTCATATGCGCTTCCTACATGACCAACCCCTTTTCCTATCACCCCATTCTAACCAACCCGCCCCCTTCAACATCCAACCTGACCAGCCACCAAACAATACTCACTCCACGTTATTCTCTTCCCCGAGGATTTGCACTGGGACGGCACGTTGGCCCAGATTGTGCATCTCTTCCTGAACCGGTCAAAATACGGCGTCAGTTTAGGACAGTGGTATGAACGCACGTGGCGGTCGTCCTGGCAATGGTGAAATATGCTACAGTTTCTGTTGTCGGCGTAGAGATCTGTGGGCCAGTCATTGCAGTCGTATCTGAACCCGCTGATCGGGAAAGCGGCTGTGTCCTGGGGATCTGGAAAAGTCCAATTAAAATGAGTGGATATTGTTAGTCATCCAGTAGAACAAGAATGATAAATATGAATCACCTCGAGCTCTGATACTGGAACATACGTTGGTCAGTTTCTAAATGTAAGTATTAGAGTTATTCATATTTATCAGTCCAATAAAAATGACATTCGAGCAAATGTTTATTGAAATTCGAATCATAACGTGCTATGTGATAAATGAAGGAATATTTAACTAATGCGAATGTCTGAATGAATGAATGAATTACATGCAAAGCAAATTTGTAATGCTTGCCAAATTCATCGCTTATTTAAAACTTTCCTTTATTCAACTGCAGTTGATATACGTAAATCAGACACAGTATTTGAATAAAAACTAAAAATGGACAAATGACACAATTTTTACCGTGTCATCATGTCACAGGGAAATTGGAATGCAATGCCGCATGAGAGAGCGGGTGTTTAAATTTATTTCAGCTGCGAAAGGTGAATAACCACATTCTTGTTCTTGTTGAACATGGCTTTCTCCACTTTCGTTGAGCAAATACGCGTGTAAAACAGCGTTGCCAACTCATTCAATTTCCGTGCCCTACCCCTTTTGTTTTGTTTTGTTTTTCGTCATCAAGTGTAATAATTTCGCCAATATCATGGTTAATAACAGAATTACACATTAAGTCACCTTAAATAATTTGAAATAATGTTGTCAAACTGTGGAACTAGTGGTCACTGTGTGGCTTTTATCATAAATACAGAGTTTCCAAACGTGCTGCCCATTGGCCGAGTCATCACTTTTTGCAGGGGGCGTTTAAGTTGGGCTTAACACTTATATATAGCCATTTCGTGCGAGGAGTAATGTCACCGTAGTTTCAATGAGGTGATTACCGTCTTAAAACAAGGAACATTTATATACACTTTTTCGACTGCTTTGATTGTCATTTAGACTGCCAGTGTTGTCTTTGAAAAGTTTGAGTCATATAGATATATAAATTAGACTTGATGACTGAACTGCTGACCATCTGAACTTAAGAGCATTACTGTTTATAAAAAAGGCTGAGTTGTTAATGTTTCACTTTTACCTTAACTTATTCATTTCAAAGCCGCTTTCAGACAAGAAGATTAACCTGGACCGGTTGAGTGCTAAATTGTGTTATCAACCAACCAAAAGATTTTACCATTTAAATATTAAAATGTTTAAATTTTAGCAGTAAAAAGAATGCCAATAACCAACTCCGTCGACCGCGTGCAGGGCGCGTGCCTACTGGGCGTAGGCGGCTTAATAACCAATTTGCATGTTTAGCTGTCCCGTGATGTCATTTAGAACTGAGCCAGTCAGCAAAACTTTTCCTCTATGCAACTCCCCTACACACACACACACACACACGCAGGCACACACGTTAATTAAACAAGCAGTACATGGTTCCTGGTTAGAATAATACCATAATTGTGTTCCAACCTTAACAATTAAAATTACGACATAAGAAATGTATATATAAGCCACTTACCGCCTCCTTGAGCATAAGCGCATGTTAGTACTCCTATGAGAATAACGACAACTAGTTCCACTATTATCTGTGTCCGGATCGCCATTGTCAGTCTGAAATAAATGGAAAAAATAATATGAATTCATATTGGATTGACTTCCTATGGTTTTGAAAGCGTAAAACGGTGTCCTGTGGTCAGGTACACAAAATCATTTTGGATACAATGTTGATCTGGGAAAATGTGGAAATATTGGTAATAATATTTGAAACAAAATGTTGGTCTATTTCAAGTCATGATAAATGGACAGTAGTCGATATAAATTAGTTGAACAAAAGTGAACTACGTATTGTTTTAACAGTCTATGCGTCACAGCAGTGATTCGATATGTGTCAGCTTTATTACGCTGGCTCTAGTGTCAGACTGAACTAAATTATTCTATCTGACACGCCATTTAACTTTTAAAAAGAAAGTTGCATTCAACATTTACATTTGCTTAAAGGAGAAGGTGCAAGAATACAAGGAGAAGCTATATGTAACAATGATTTGCAAATATCTGGGTTCGAACATAAGCAATGTTCGCAGAGATTCCTCACTCACGTGTTCCAGTTAAAGGTCAGATTATAAATCACGAAGACATCAAAGACATAATAATAATAATAATAATAATAATAATAATAATAATAATGATAATAAATTTATTATTATTATTATTATTATTATTATTATTATAACTGATGTCATCGCAGGAAAGAGACCACCGGTATCCTGCATGACTTTTGATGATATTCCAAAAGATTTTTTGTCACGTGATCTGTTTATTATCTCTCCACTGTATAACGTACATATATTTTAATGAGACTCTTTTTTATTCTTTATGTCACTTTATTCGCTAGCACAAACGTTTCATGACTTTCGTTAATAAATCCAAAGGCAGAGGTTAGGTTTACGTGCATTGAATGCACTTTGAAAAAGAAAAACAGGTAGATATGAATCTAATTTACCAACTCCCGCTCTTACGACTTAATCTGTGCACCAAATCATTTCTACCAACGCTAAATATAGAAGGGAGAAACAATTGTGGTGAAGGCATTCTTACCCACGTAGCTTTTGAGGAATCAGTTCGACTGCAGTTGTGTTGCAATGTTTTCTTTCAAGGACCACAAAATACAATCTTACTCGTAGCGTCTCATTTGACCTTCACAACACGGACATGCTTATACCAAAGGACTGTTTGGAGTCAAATGCATCATTTACGTATCTAAAAACATAAGTCCGTAAAAGGATGTACTTAAATGTTTTGAATGTGAAATTTGATGGAATATTAGAGCAGTATCTTGTATTAGTCATACATAGCTCTTTAACTAATGTCTCATTACGAAACTACGTAGAACAAAGAAACATATTCATACATGGGGCAAAACTATTGTAACTACATTGCTCACGTACTTTGAAACATGAATAATGTTTTACCACGATAAAAACGTCAAATATAATTTTTAGTTAGTCGTGCCTAGTTCCAAGCAAACCAACTATCTGTGAACCTCTGAATGGGGTCCTTGTTTTTCTTTGTGAATTTCAAATAGAGCATCATCAATAATCTTCTACAACATGGAGTAACTTTTTCTCAAAGGATGACATCTGTAATTATATGCCCTGTGAAAAGTACTCCACGTTAGACCATGCGCTCAGGCGATATAATTTAGAGGTAAAGGGAGTGATTCATGACCCACTCTTCACTTCAGCTGTCACTTTCGTTATCAAAGTCATGCATCTGAGACCTAAACGTATAATTCTCGCCCGTCAGAATGCGTGATCTTTGGCGGCGGAAGCCATGTTTGATATGCAAGATAGGCCACATGTGCCTGCAGATCTGCTTCTCATGTATAATACGTCATGGAATGTAATATTTTGGCTTTATCTGTCATCTGTCTTGAATAGTGGATGTCTTTTAATAAAGATACAGCAAATATCAGGATATTATTGTGAAAAAAAAGAAAATCGAAAAAGGGTAGCCATTGTTTGGATTTGACAATTGTCATATTCTTCAGATGGGGTGTGCATGGGCCAGACGAATGGCTGATAACATTTCATATTTGCTGACATTTGATTCGGCATATGAATATGTATCGAATACCAATATTAGATGGTCTGAAATTCTGCCTTTGCAAAACAAAGAAATACCTCGAAGTACAAACGTCGCTATAATCACCACGGTACCATCAATCATTGGAGGCACTTCAGTTACGAAACGCTTACAGTCAGTAAACCCTCCATGTTGTATTTGCATACCAAAACCCCAGGGTCAACCTAAAAGTTTTATATAGGATTTCCATTAAAAAATTCATGTAGAACACCCATATAAAACGGAACCTATTAAAACCTGTGCTAAGACGCTGCGGCCCTAGGTCAAATTGACTTCGATGATAATGCACGATAGCCACTTAAAAGGGGTCAGTCCGTGCCGGGCACATTAAAAAAACGCTTTGTCACCGAAAGCCATTGTTGGTACGACAGCAAACGGAACCCATTCCATACGTGTAGCTGCCTGCAATGATTTCTGACCCCACTGGCGTTAAATAATATTTATCACAAGGGTCTTAAACGTGACTTCCCTTACAACTACACTGTATAAATCTCGAGTGCCGGCTTGTATAGTGATGTGACTTCCACGCACCTCCAAAATGAATGTACCATTGTCAATGCCCGCCATTATGTGCACTTAGGAACACTGCAAGACGGCGCCAAGGACTAATATGGAACGTTTACCTCATCATGAATGTAAAATAAGCTAATTTACAGCACACAGCCCATTGTTCTTTTCGGGTATGTCCTTAAAATGACATATTCAATTTCTGAACCACTACCTTAAACCCTAAACAACATTAAATATCTATTGTTTGTAGACATACAAGTATATCATAACGTCTGCCGGTTTATGTAGCAGGTCCTAGTTATCCAATTACCCAAAAGCATTCTTAGCATCCTCGATCTGCCTAACGCGACCAGAAAAAACATTTTAAAGTCATCATCGCTTTATTTTTCAATGAGTATCTGTATCTATCAAGTGAAGCAGACAAATGATTATATTTTGTTAACGATTGTATAAAAACATGATGTGAATGTCGTACCATTCCAACATCTACCTCTCTCAGTTTGCCAAACTTACACATCACAGGTTTTTGACAATTAAAACGCATCTATCGTCTTAATCAAATTTACATTTCTGATGAAAGATATCAGAAAAGCATTACCTATGGTATGATATGTTGGTATGCAACAATTACAAGAGGAAGAGAAGAAAAAGAAGAAGAATTAATCATCAATGGGAATTTGAAGAATCATCGCACACCCTCGTCATAGTCACGTACTAGCATTTAATATGTTTCCTTCTTGTGAGCTACCATTGTGCCTTATTAAATGACTCAAAACGTCGACGCCCCGAAAAATCATATATCATGTCTCGTCTGTATGATTCTTCCTTTATAACTGTGGAACCCCTCGGCTCATGCAAACTATTTCGTGGCAATTATTTCAACAAGTAGTTGCTAATTCATTGCATCCCAAAACGAAATCCATTTTGCAATATGAACAGCCATTGTGCAACCTGAAACTACCATTACTCATGTAGATATGGTGCTTTTGGAAATTCTTAGTTTAATGACGTTGATCATAACGAGCTGTGTCAAATGTATGCAAGCCATAAAAAAAACATTGTTAAACTGTATTGTTTCTCCTCACACAAGGAAGTTTTAAAAAAACACCGAGGATATTTATGTTTAACCCAGAACCTGACGTTCACGTGACATACTCCCAAAATTGACAGACCACAATCAATTTTAAAATGTCAATTCCTTACATGTATAAAACTGTTATATGAAGTGACCGTTTCTGGGACGGTTAATATCAGAAAAAAACGTCCATTATCGGTCGATCACAGGGTCATATCTGTACCAAGTAATAAAGATTAAAATGCAAGATAGCAAGACACATCAATCAGAAGTAGTTTAATACAGTGCGCCATTGTTTTCGTTTGAATGAGGCCTTTTTGTGTATGTATATATATAAACTTTGCTGACCTAAAAGGTTTGGAATGCTACTGTCAGGAAGCAGAATCAACAATGGCGCAATGCCCCTTTTTGTGGCGAAAATAAACTACAGGTCTTGAGTATTCTTTGGGTTTCTGACTCAGATATCTTTATTTGACGTGTTGTTATTGACTTGGTTTTTAGCTTTTGAAAAGAAATGATAAGTTTTGTTGACGTTATCTAAGGCATATGACATTTTTTTTGGAAACATATTTTATGACAATTTCCGCAATGCTATTATTTTAAGAACTGTTTGTTGTTGAATTTTAAAAAGAAAAGAAGAACATTGCGGAGTTAATCAATAAATTGCAAAACAGCTTTCATGTATTATGGAAATATGAAAACATTACACATGTACCTGTAGCTTTTCTCCATATCTATAGAAAACTATATATCACCACAACTGTATTTATATCAATGAGAAACGGGTGAACCACTGAAGACAGCAATAATCCCAACACAATTTTCCATAATTCCGTGACGTGTGTATCAGTACAATATGTAAAACTACCGCTGGCGAGGACAAAAGACACGGTATAGAGATAAACAGTTCTGGAAATTCTCACTGAATGACTGTATTATACTCAACAGAAACTATCCTTCACACTGCTCCCTGTATTTCGACGTGATAGGTACATAGTATGCAAATGATTATCAAACAAAACAGCCAATCATGAGCAATTAGGAGATTATAATTAAATGGCCGAGTCTAACATGTACCTAAGAGACAGAGAAACTCAGAGAGCGAAATACTGTCACCTTCTGTCTGTGCTATTGTCATTACAGAGTGGCGTACAATCATGACTTGTTTGACCCACCACTGCGTACTTATTATCTGATTTTATCATTGGACCAGACCGCCCTCACTGTCTTTTCGTGTATATACCACCCAAAGTAGACGAGTTACAAGGACGCGTAAATCAGGGGAGGAAAAAGACTTTTTTGTTTTGGGCCATTGGAAATCCTCTTGAAATTAAAAGCGGATAATTTCACATTTAAGATTACTGTGTAAGAGAGTCAGCATGGATGGAAGACTTAAGGCTAAATATTTGTACCAATTCTTTTATTCATCGAAAAGGAACATTACTCACTAAACGTGCATTTGCAACAGCCAACAAACTCTTGTTTAAGTACGTGAGAGGGGGTAGCGATTCATAAATAGAGAAGTTATGAACATTTTAACAGGCACATTAAACTTACACGTTTGGCGGTCTTTTTTCTTGCAAAGACAAAAGCCATATATCTCAACGATTAGAATATTCGCCATCTGAATATCAAAGTTTTGTTACCATCACGTTTACAATAAGAACAAAAACTCTTTCTGTGAACATGTATGTCAGCAATCACTCACTTTTGGCACTGCATAAAAGTTCCAACCCATGGGCATTTGATGTAAATTACAAACTAATCAACAGATTGGAAAAGACTGATGATTGATTGCATAAGCCGCATAGGAGATCATGGGAGTCATACATTATATGATACAGTTGCTGTTGGTATCGCTGTTGGTTATCCGAAAAACTACATTGCTGGGCGATAACAATTATTATATCATAAAAGAATGCGAAAAGTCATCTGTTGTGTACCAGACTTGAAGTCACTAGACCAATTTTTCAGTACGTTTTCATGACACCCATACATCAACCGCGAAGTTGACAGTATAAGAAGTCTGCCTTCATATATACTGTTTTAAAAAACACAAAAAAAAGGACAAACCTGCTAAAAAGAATCAGTCAATCTCACCTCTTATTCAACTGTGGCTGCTTGCCGGTCCTGTCCGCCTCGCCTCGTCGACAGCACACCTCTGACGAAGAAAAGAAAGGGACACATTAAAGTCGTGTGACGAACTAATATCAGTCTCGCGTCTCTGTCGTGAGTTGACTACATTATAACTTAAGTAACAATAAAAACACTCATCGGTCGTCCCATCGCGGTGTGCGGGACGTCACCCATGTGTGAGTGCATTGTTTTAGGGAACGGGCCATGAATATGAATTATATATCTATAGGAGAGGAACGGGAAGACGAAAAGATTTGGACACTAAGTTTCTATACTGGTCTGTATTGTTCATGTATTGCCACAAAAATTCTTCCACCCATGTCTGTAGGACCTGTGTTTTGCCATTAATGCCAGGAATGTGTTTTGTGTATAAAATGAAGAGATTTATAGGAAAGGGGAACTGGACAGATGGCGTCGTGGCCATACATGTATCATTTCTTCTTTTTTTCACGATGGATTTTATATATATGAACAAAAGCTTCTTGAAGATAATATAGGGCGATACGCGCTTGTTGGTACCATCGACTAGCAGAAACTCATGTTTAGTTTCTTATGTTTACTGTTGCCTTACTTTATAAATTGCCCCCAATTATATCTTTATCCTTACTTCACTGATTAGTTTTATTGCAATAGTATATAAACATATATAAGGGCGTTCAGTCTAAGTCTTTTAGTGATAGGTTAGTTTTAACAATTATCAAGTATAATTGTAATACAAGAACGACATCGATTTTTAGTATGTGCGTATTGCAGTTGTTTTAATGTTATTTATTTCAACAATAAAGCGTCTTTCCAAACTCAATACACGACTTATATCAGTGTGATTAAACAGTTCCTCAAAAATACTCATAAGAACACAAAAAAAAAAAATAAAAATAAAAATAAAAAAAATAACACTATTTTCATTGTCCGCAATTTCCTCGACCAATTACTGGTAATGGTATAAAGTTCCTAAATTGTCCGTCAACGTCTATATAGCTGATTTTGGAGTTTATATCACAAGCGACATTTTAATTCCATTTAGATGATACACTGGTTACATTTAACTGCGCCATTTGATATAAATACCCTGTTTGCGTGACACGTTAAGTTTTGGTACTATGTTCACTCATTTGTCATCTAGTGACCAGTATGCACCATTCGGCAAACTTCGTGAGATTCCGTACCGTATCTTCAAGTGGTGTAAATCAACGGAACAAGCCGAAGTTTTCCGAATGCTGTAATAACCTTACGCGCGTTATACGTCACAGGTCTTGCGTAACTACCCACGTGCTACGATTTTTCCCTTGGGGGGGCAGCAAGCGGACATTTTGTACAGGAGCAATGCAAAGATGGGTGAAAACGATACGTTGTTTTTAACCGAAGACGATGTCCCCGGGGCAAAACTGCCAACACCGAAAGTAAAGGAGCATACCAACGTTGTTTTGAAACGATGTGGTAAGCCTGTCAGTGGCGAGTTGGGGAGAAAAGAGCAGCACTGATAGCAAGGTACTGTGTACACGTGAACCGGCAAAGTTAATGATAATTTCATGTTGCAAATACATAATTAAATCAGTTAGTTATTTTCCAAACGATATTATTTGAATAGCAGATACATAGATCAAACTAAAAACAATAAAAAATTTTGATGACATTGAAAATCAAAACCAGCGGTGCACGATAGGTTGAGGAGGACACTGCCACAGCAAGTAATGCATGAATTTTGTTACATAACACCATATGCTTGTGTCGTTGTTAACTCTGTGGTATTATTACTGCTCATATTAATACCTGATATTATTTCTCAGGCTACCAAGTACAAATCAACTTATTTTGTGGCAATTGACCTCCATGTTCCATCATGTGTGCAGGCTGTTTATTATTATTATTTGTTCAAGCACATTTTGATAAAGTGGCTATGCTTTAACAAGAGAAAGTCAAAATTTATGCTGAAGTTTAAAAGATTAAATCATCAGTAGTATATACAATTAAAGCTATTTGATTATGCATATTTGATTTTCAATTATCTTGATTATGGTATGAGGTTTCTGCCTTTTTCTCTTGCCCTCAAATCAATGTATAAGAAGTAAATTGATAGTGCTTTATTACAATTTTGGCTTTATACTTTCAGATGTAAAACTGTTTAGATGTTGGTAAAGCTGTAGAGATTGATGTGAGCATAGATCAGGGGAAATGGTATTAGGGAAACTAGGAGGACAAGACAGATAATGTACTAGTAGATCCATCATCACAGCAAGGGTAGATGGTGTGATCTTGTCCCTGAGGCTGTGCCACAAGTTTTCAATTGGTTGAGTCCTTACTAAGACAAGCTGCTGCGGTGTGAATCCCAATATGTACATTCAGGTTATACGTGACAGATTTATGACAAAAGAGACCTTCACAATATACTTACTGTACTAAGGAGTTATTCTTGCGTCTATGCCTCATCAAAAGTACACAGTTACAGTGATTAGAGCATTGTCTGCAAATAGTGAGGTAGTGAAGGCTGCAAGGTGCCATTGTTTTTCAATATTAAGAATGACAGTATCTGTTTTTTATTTATATATTTATTTTTTTATTATTCATTTTTAATGGGAAGGAAAATCACTTTGTTCTTTCTATGCCCATTCAGTTAAGGGTTGGTGGCAATATATGGTAAATCTGTCATGCCTGTATGTAGAATTTCTCTTGCTCAAATTTCTACATTTATTGAATGCAATATGAAGTTTCCTGACTGATTTATGAGGTTACTTGTAGAAATATCTTGCCTACACACATTTTGTGATATTTTTACTACTTTATACATATGATTAATATTTTATTCACATTTCATCAGTGGTGTGTGAAAGGTATTTGCATTTTAGAACTGTAGATATGTGTACCAGCAGGGTTATACTGCAGTAATATCTGTTAATATTTCTAAAAATAAGCTTCGTGTTTGATAATTAATTGGTTTGAAATAAATAAATAACCCAAATAAAATCAATTCATTTTATATTTCACATAATCTGTTTTTATTATTTCTTCTAAGCATTTAATCATAACATCTCCCATCATTATACTGTTATTGTGTAATAACATTGAAAGTTTCCAAGTTTTTATTAACAGGTTGATGCTAACGTATTACAAATAAATATAAGCATCAAAGCATATTTCCTTACTCAAAGGTAGCAAACGTACCACTGGCATAATACCGGAAATGATACAGGTAAAGATGACAGCATTGATAACTGGGTTTACAGCATGGTTGCATAGTTAGTGTCAGATTGTTATCTGATAAAGTTTGCTACTAGTACCTAGGAACAAAAGGTCTGGCACTTGACAATCAAGTTGATAAAATCACAAAACTCCTGTAGAAAATAGTGCATACCTGCCCAACATTGATTTGTTCAGATTCTTGACCAAGGGGTGCATTACTGGTGTCAAGGGCCAAGACTTGAACTTAGGGGTTTGGCATGTCACTGGACATTCCTCTCGATTTCTGCCCAAATCTAATAAAGCCTCAGTTGCTTAACTTTCGCCAAATTTCCAATATCTACAGGTCGTGTTGTTTAATGCTTGGGGTCTCTTCTCTGGCGGCGGTTAACTGGGGACACCTGTGCGGCCTGTCAACGCACCAAGACCCACTTTTGCCAGTGCCACATTTTCCATTGCCGTAAATATCAAATTTGTGAAAAGAATGAGGAATAATGACAGTTATGAAAAATGTTTGGAAGTAACTGTCACCTTCGCCACAGTATCCATATGGGCTGTGCTGCCCCCCCACCACAGGCGACACCTTGCGGAGCAAGCGTGCGTAATCCAGGGTGCAACTGAAAATAACCTTGTCGCGCGACCTTATTACTGGCGGCTATTATTGCCATATCTATACATGTGACTTTGGCTTTGTTTATGGTCAAATTTTAGAGATGAAAATCAGTCAAGGGCGCTGACAAAAATGAATAGATTACAAGAAGAAAATAAGCCAAGTGTCATGAAATCTATCACCTAACTGCCCCGAAATGTTTTATTTTTTCTACACTCTCTCTCTCTCTCTCTCTCTCTCTCTCTCTCTCTCTGTGTGTGTGTGTGTGTGTGTGTGTGTGCAAAACCGCCCCATGTAACTACTTTGACCACTGGCATGTAGAGCCATGTACTAATATCACTTCTCCAGATAAGATGCGGCTAATCATCGTTATTGTTTGTGGTCAGGTGCTCGAGCTGGCGGAATCGACGATAGATAGTGTATCATTTAATTGTTTCTTTTTTTCTTTGAAAAGTTTCTATCTCTTTGTGGTAGTAGATTTCGCGGCGGGTCTTTCCAAGTAACTAGGGATGACAACATTTCCTAGATTTGGTCTAAAAGGGTATAAAACAGTTACACGTATAACAACAGGGGATTCTTTTATCAAAAATGTGGACATTTCTACCGCCAAACCTACGTGTGTACATGGAACTGAGATCAAGTCACAAGACACAGCACAGCCAGTCACAGTAAAGTGACTTCACGCCAGCTCCATAAGCTAATTATTTTCAGTGTTATCGATAAATGAGGGCCAGTTCCAACTGTACATAGATATGTATTACGATTCAATTCAGAGAGCTTAATATACTGAGTGCAAGTCAACTTAATTTTGCTCTCGTGAATTATCTTTAAATCAGTATCTAGTTACTTCCACAATTTTCTTTTCAATAATTTTTACAGCGTTTATTATTCATGCCAAAGTAAAGTGGACTTAAGATTTTCTCCACCAAAATGAATTTTATTTCAATGTTAGGAGAACCTCATTATAAATCGTCCGAATGTATCCAAGATTTGCCCGTGATCTGAATCAATTATATAACAATGTGAATTATAATGTCGCTGTTATCTGTCAAAACTATATCAGGTGCTATCCATTCGTGTATGTCTCCGGCGGAACTCACAAAAGCTAAGATAACTCTGAGATGTTCTGATTTCATTATCTGATTTCATTTGATTGTGCATATTCTGAAATCCGGGTCTTCTTTTCTAACTCAACGTGTGATGTTTTATATATATACCCTAGCTGTTTTCGTAAAATTCAGCGAGATTGAGTTGCGCCCCTTGTAGATCTTATTTAACTTGTTAACGATGGTCACGTTTAGAATTTTACAAACAACAGAACAATCGCATTTGTGATTTAAAAGTTTCTTATCCTTCTTTTACATTTGAAGTTAGTACATTGTTCTGGTTTTTTGTCTTTTTACCCTTTGAATTTTTAACTAATGTTCAGTAAAGCGGGAAGCTTAACGTAGATATCATTGACTTTTCACTGACAAACTTACACCTGTTTTTTTATGAAATCGTAATGAAATGTGTCAGTTATAAGTAATGAATGATAAACCTGACAAGCCTTATGAGCCGATTATGGCTCGAAGGGGATACGTGAGAAAGTAATACTTTATAAACCATTTACTTACTTTGTACAATGAAATATCTTGTAGTATCCGACCCTATATGAGGGGAGAGTCCCGCAAACCCCAGCACAGACTGTGGCACTGTATTTACGCAACGGCCAACAAGTTGCGAGTGCCCAAAAATTGAGTGGAAAAGTCTTCAGTGTCAACACCAAGGCCTTGGTGATACAGGTATTCCAATTCCGTTTATTCCAGGGATTTTTTTCAGCTCATAGAGCAAAAAATAAGCTGCACCAAGATGGCCTTATTTCCTCGACGTTGCGACTAAGACATTAATCCCCGGACTGAAACCAGACGCTTACTCCCGCTTGACCGCCACAGTCCGACGTCGCGTTCAAATCTGGCTGGTCGAAAGGAAGACGCGGTAGCGTGGTTTGTTTTTGATTTATCAGATCATATGTATGACGCGCCGCGGAAATAAAGGTACGTGTATCTGTCACCTTTAGAATTAGATCTGAGTGCGATATGCAAATGGCTTATATAAATACGCGCATAGAAAGTCATTAAAAGCAAGCTTAGTCAAAAGTCGTGATCAGGATAATTTGGGGGAGTTAAGACTCTATTAAAAGAGTCACAGGTGCGTTAGGAAAATGATGGCCTTTGCGTGCTTGCATATTGAAACCAGGGCCAGGGTTTCCCAAAATAATAATAATAATAATAATAATAATAATAATAATAATAATAATATCAACAACAGTCGACTTCAGGGGGGTCCTGACCCCCCCCCCTTCGGTTTCTGAAAAATATATCACACCAATATTCCCCTCTTGAAATTAGAATTTTGACAAGCTAAATCATAGTTCTAAACCGTACCAAAGGGCACTGTTTGCTCCTCAGAAAACCAAAAAATTTTCGGGGCCCCTGAACAGGCCCCAAACCCCAAACTAAGGGGGCGATGGTTGGCTTCGCATCCGAGGTCTGTCATTCCGGACCCCCCCCCCCTTCAAATCTTCAAATAATCCTGGATCCGCCCCTGTTAACAGTCTGATTGGTAAATAAGTCAGTCGACAAAATAAATAAAGAGACCAAGCGTGTTTTTCAGTAGTCATACTAGAAAACACCAAACTGTATACGGTCCTTGTTACATGTACTCATTCATATGAACCTTGACGTTTTATCAAGGGCCTGACCACATGAAAGACACGTCGTTAAGCTGGTACAAGGTGTTATATATATATATATATATATATATATATATATATATATATATATATATATATATATATATATATATATATATATATAGTGTATATAGACAATGAGAAATTTAAAATGATATGATTCATACATCATTGACGTGTCGCGTCTTTGTTAGCGTAAAAAACTAACTTCTGATTCCATGAAAAGCGAACGTGGGCTTGATGCTGAAAATTTAATATTAGTCAACAGGCCCAATGAGCAAAATGTATCGTAGCATGGCAGTAGACCTTATCGATTTTTTTGGTGTGTGTGTGTAAAGAAAGACACCCAATGCTAATTTTTCAGAATAATTTTCACATGGGGGAAACAGGTGTACTAAGAATGGAAGTCCTAGGAATGGAAGTCCGGGCTCTCGTATGATTAGTAGCCTACAGGTTAGGGTTAACGCATTGGAGTAGGCCCTTTTGGGGTTAGTACATAGACGAATACACCGCCATGCACAACAAAAATTTTAAAGGCAAACGCTTTTCTTTCATTTTCCTTCATATGAAATGGAAAAATGACAAATATGAAATGACAAAATAATAAAGAAAACTATTGTTTTCGTAAGTAGACCCCCCCCCACCACCACCACCACCACACTAAACCCAAAACACAACGACAGGTGAAGCTGGTGTCACATTGCATCATAATATTATCACGGCGACCTACAGTAAGAAGGGCTCTCGGAATTAATTTACCTAAGCAAGAAATTCCTTGGTCTGGGTCAAATAAAAGATCATTTTAAAAATGTACCTATCTATAAATACTAGTAGTACTAGTATCTGGGTTAATTAGGCCTTACTTATAGCAAAACACATATATAATTTAGTTTTCGTTTAAGGAACGGTGAAAATAAAAGAAAGTTAAAAGCTTTTAAGGTTTATATCATATTATTGCATAAGGTTAAAATGACGTTGATAAAGAAGGGGACGGGAAATCAAAAGTAATGTCAAAATCTGTTTTATCTCGTTTTCAGTTCCCCTCTCTATGGTGCTCTTTCGCCTGTGGAGATCAATAAGAAAACTCAAAGTCAAGGTCGTAAATTATGCACGCTGTGTTTTGGACAATTATATTTGAATTATTTTAAATCAAACTGTACTGTTGAAGATGTATTCAAAATTTTCTTTTAGATCATTTAGAAGAGTTCTGGGTCGTGTAATTGTCACAAGACCGGATAAACTTTGTAAAGTTCGAGTAATCAGAATGCAGCTAGACGGGAAGCTTTTAAGGGTACGTTCAGTTTTACAAATTACTGATACACGCCAAAACAGTTTAAAGTTAAAATTTAATTAACCACAGCCAGCTAAGGCACAGTATTAATTGATATTTCATTAACCTTACCTTGCTTCTTGTCTTCAGTATTTCAACAAAAGAGAAGATGTGTGGGTATTGGACAGAGAATTACAGTGCAAAGAAGGGGACATTGTTCTTTATCAACCTATTAAAAATCAGAAGGAACACGTGAGGGTGCCGTACGCTCCATGGGGGACAAGTAGGGAGATTGCCAAAATTTTGTACAAAGTGGGAGAGACTTTTGACCCAGTGACAGGAAGAAGATGTTTTGGGACAAAGTATGCAGATGAAGATACTATTAATCCAAATGTCAACTATGAAGATGACCGCCGTGGATACTATCAAGATGACACAAGTTACCTTATGAGAAATCAAGCAAAAAAAGTTATTGAAGATTATAAAAAAAAGGACAACACTGAAAAAAAGGGCACTCCAGTTTGATATGACTTTCAATGTTGATTAATTCAGATTAATTTGTTGGAAATATGATCAGAAAGAATTGTAATGGTCTTTCTGAAATACTGTGTAACATGGCAAGGATGCCTTAAACTTTATCAACCTGGTTGTTTTCATGAAGTACTGAAGAAGAGGTCAAGTAGGATTACCTAGTTTGTATAAAAAATTATCAAAATGAATTATAACAATCTTTTTCTCATGTTATGATAGCCATAACCGAGAGAATTTTGATGAATAAAAAAAAGAGAAAGGAATCTGAATTGTTAAAAACATATTTATATGAATCTAGAAAACAAAGAAAAAAATCAATGAAAATTCAAGTATCTGCTGTTTACTTTGTATCCGTTTGTTGTGATTGCAATGTCTGAAGTGAAAAAAATCATTAAGCAATTTCAGCAAAACGTTTTTCATACACATACTTTATTTCTCGAGATTTCATAATACCATTTTTTTCTGTTTAAATTACATTTGTAAAGCCACCATTAAAAAACTTGAAATTAAGAAAAACAAAAGTTTTTTTTTTTTTTTTTTTTTTTTTTTTTTTTTTTTTTTTTTTGTTATGGTGCAGCTGATAGTCCCACTTTAATAAGTCAGACTATTGAGTTCAATATTATTTACTTTGCTTGCCTAAAATAATTTTCTGACACTGAAGTATTAAACCACTTTTGAAAAGTAGCTTTAAGGTTGAAGTTCGTGCAGCTCCTCATTTTACTCACCACACAATTTTTGCTTTGACCAAGAAATTTGACAGTCACTTGATTTAATAAACTGGAAGGGATACATAGTATGGACATGTATTGTATTTCTTTTTTTTATTTTTAATTCAATATTAAGACAAAACATTAAATTATCTTACCAACTTCCACATAAGATTTTCAAAAATAAGTTTTCAGCCATTGAACACAATCTTATTTTTCTAAGCTTGATCTTTGTAACACAATTTTGTACTGATATATCAGAAGTTTACATGATTTGATCATGGTTTTTCAAGTCTTGGTGTCTCAAAATTGCTCTTTGAATAAATGAGCCTCCACTAACAAAAGAGTGCCACCGGTAAAATTTCACAACTGAAAGTTCGGTTGGAAGTTGTAGTGCGCTCATTTCATGAGTTGAAATGCGAACTGGCACTTAGACACAGAAAGTCCTCCTTGATTAGAATAGATGTTTAACAGACCCAACAGCGGAAAACTACAACACACTTTCAGGTCAGTTTCAAATTAGTCCATCGAAATGATGCGCATCTGGCTAGCCCCTGCATGGTAACGCCTCCCAACGTGCTGCACGTTTCGAGACACATGTGCGTAAGCCAAGTGTTTGATGCGGGTCAGATTCTCCTTTCTTTTAGATATATCTGCAAAGTCGTGTTCATACTACCAGTAGTTTGGGGGGGGGGGTTGAAACTGAAGACGCTGACAGACATCGGGTCTGAAATAAGGGGTCATTTTTTGTGTAACCACATTGTTACATGTACTAGCTCCGCCTCACTACCTGCCAGGGGTTACTCCCCCTAATCGATATAAAGTGAGCTAAATAGCACTCGGAGAGCCCAGACCTCAAAGCAACAAAGCTCGCATTACTTTTAATGAATTCCCAATTTACTGAGTATTTACCTAAATTATCATAACATTAATTGATTAATTAATTGATGAATCAACCACCACCATAATGTAGTCAATTTTTGACCTGTCATGAAAATATCAAAATCCTTCCATAACCTTTTTATAGTGTTGCTTAAAGATAAAGAGACTTTACTTCTTGTAATCAATTAATTCACCACCACCAAAATATATTTGTTTCCAAATATTACATCAAAATCTATCCACTTTTAGCTTTTCACTATCAACTTTTTTCCTTTATTTTGCTAGCAGACAGGCAGACCAATAATTGACTAATATTATATTTAAATTGATTGCTGGATCACAACGAAAATCTAATCATTTCTTACTCGGTCCACTCCCAACAGTTACTGAATATTAATTTTTTTTATTTAATCATATGTTATTAGATGTTGCATTTTTACTAGGGGGACTCTTTCCTGTGGAGAAAGTAGCGATGTGGGGTACTTATTGTGCAATTACAAAAAGGATGTATAGTGATGTTACTTTGTGTATAGTGGTAACTGCATGATAACCAAAAAAAAAAAAAAAACCACTTTGGCTGCACCCATCTCCTCCCCTTTTAGGCAAAGGATTGATACTTATAATTTACCACCTACTTTTTTATTTTATAATTTAATTGCTTGTATCTGGCTTGAAAAAGTGTCCCATTGTATCTGAAATACATGAAATCAAGTGTCAGATTTTAAATTTTTTTCCATCATTAGATGAAGACCTTACTGGTAGCAGGAGTAGTGGTAGCTTTAGCGTATGCCACATATTGTTTTCTGGATGTCCCCGTACCCTCAGATTTTCCAGAAACATGGAAAGTGAAGATTATGGATGGCAAGTTGCGCGGTCTTGGAAAACTGGTAATAAATGATAAAGACAATAATTTATTTATTTATAGTCTTAAATCTATCAAATGTAAGATACCAGTAGACTTAACAGCATGAAAATATGTACAAGTAATTCAAGATGAAAATTATAGATGGTTAGAAATAAGTACATAATTATCTCTTTCATGCAGACTTTCCTTAATTGTTGGTTGATTCACAAGTAATAAAAATGGTCATAGCCCTTATGAAACAAACCTAAAATGCAATTGAATATTGATCATTTACATGTTTATGAAACAGTATGACTCACATAATTTTAAGAAAATGTCAAAATCCACATGATATAAACATTGAGCTTTTATAGCTATATAATACTGCGTTAATTACCATACACACAATTTAATACCCACCTTCTTCAACTTTTACAGGATTCACTGATGATGTTTGTCACAGGTGACAAAGACGTAAGAACTCATCCGTGGGCACGTTGGATTCTGAACACTGTATTTAAACTGTTACATACTGGGTTACCATGGATACAAGGGACAGACCAGGATGTGAAGGTACATGTGACAGAAGAGATGCATCAGGTCATAAGCAGATAAAGTTAAACCACCCACAGTTTCAGAGGTCACTGAGAATCATTTCAGGATGTTGATAATAGATGTGTGTGTGTCTAATGACCTTTGAAATTCAGGGTTTGGCTATCAGTCATATGGAGAGTCACATCAGGAAGATCGTAATTTTCAGAAATCAATAAGTAGTTATTATGGCCCTTTAACTGTTTCGATACAGTGATCAATTTAGCTGTTGTATAAAAAAGCAAGTCATTCCACAATTTCTGAAAAAATTGCACCAAGTCAAATTGCTCATTACAACAAATACTCATCATTCCTAAAGAATGAATTAATATTATTTACCAAAATGTTTTATGCCTTTATATCCAAATAAACTGACTTCAGTTTTTGAAAAGTTGGTAAGATTGATATCAAAGTGATTACTTATGCCAGTAAGTGATAATGATAAATCTTTTAAAAAATAATTTGAAATAAATGAGGTCTTTGAAATTTGTGATAATAATCATGGTCTATAGGTTTACTACACAACAATGAGAGGTCTGCAGGTTTTAACCTTTGAACCCATACAGTCTGAGCATGGAAGGAAGAGACCTGCTATTGTATATTTCCACGGAGGAGGATTTGCCTTATTATCAGAAGGTTTGTGTATTATATGTTTTAGGTACACAATGTTTGACACTATACCTGTAGACCATCCAAAGTTTATGTTTTCCTGGATATGTCAGTACTTTTCATAATTACCAAGGAGCACATACTGTATTTGTTGACAAATAACAAACTATAAACCCATTTTTTATTCTCAAGTTTCTGACATATGCCAGTTCTGTTCACATATCAAGAGCATTTTAGACATTCTGTAGTCTGTAACAAATTATTGACTTGTCACATTATCATGGTCTTATTTAATTTTTTCACTACGTACAATAACTTAAAGGATATACTTCAGTGATTTTTTGTTCATTTAAAAAAAAAAAAATTATGTATATGAAATGTTATTGCTGACTTAAAGTAAATAAGAAACATATCTCATAATTTATTTCAGAGTTTGCTGCACCAACTCTGAGAATACTTGCCAAAGAGCTTGGTGCAATGTTGTTTTCAGTAAGGTAAGTGTAATGAAGCCACAGTTTGTAATACAGTCCAGCATCATTGTTAAACAACACAGCAGTCATTGTGCACACTTTTTCTGTTTTGTTATTGGGGTTGGGGGTGGGGGGCTTTCTCTAGGTCAGTGAAAAATGCTAATCATTTGTTTGCATTTTTGTTGGAAAGTACATTTATTTTGTGCAGTCATGAATTTACCTCTGAATTCATTTGCATGCATCTCACCCCCCCCACCCCCCTCAAAAAAAAAATTAATAAATAAATAAATTATAGATATAAATAAATAAATAAATAAAAAATAAAAAAAATGATTACCACTTTTTATTCACATTTCCAGTTATCGAATGGCACCAGAACACCCCTTTCCTGCAGCCTATGCTGACTGTCTTTCAGTCACTCAATACATTATTGACAACAGCGACAAGTTTGACATTGACAGCAGCAGGGTGGCTGTAGCAGGAGACAGTGCAGGGGGCAACCTTGCTGCAGCAGTGGCATTAACACTGAAGCAACAGTTGAAGATGCAGATCCTTATGTACCCCATGCTTCAGGCCTTGGATTTCCAGTTGCCGTCATACAAAGAGAATTCAAAGTACTTTCAGGGTTTCACAAATCAAAGGGTGCTGGCATCCTCTTTCCTTCGATATGCAGGTCTTCCTCTTAATTACACTGATGCACTGCTCATTAATAATCATACCTCACCAAAACTGAAGAAGTCCAAGTATGCAAGTTACGTTGACCCCAAACTTAATATCCCAGAGCATCTAGCAACTGTTTCAACAAAAAAGTATGTGGTTGAAACTAGTGGGGGTGATGAAAATCTTTCAAAAGAAATTAAAAAGATTTTTACTAACCCTTTATTTGCACCATTGATGGCAGACGATGAGGCCTTAGCTCAGGTGGCACCAGCATACATCATAACAGCAAAGTATGATCCTCTACAGAATGATGGCATTATGTATGCTCACAGACTTTCTAAAAATGGCGTCATGATTAAACTTCATGATTACCCAGCATTCCATGCATTCTTGCAGTTCAGTGGCGGTCCATTTAAATTAGAAATTGCTGAGAGAGCAGTAAAAGACCTGGTTACTTTTTTAAAGGATCACCTATAAAAAAAGTAATGGGAATCAGCTGACATAGCCCACTCTCATAACTTTGCATAAAATCAAGCAAGAATTTGTGGGATTTGGAGAAGTGGATTCAAAAATAAAGGCATATCTTCACTTGCAGTGGATTTAAAAATAAAGGCATATCTTCACTTGCAATGCAAGGAATAAATATAAGCTAACATGATTTATACACAGATATTTTTCTTGTTGTTTTCTCCCAAGTTCTGTAGAATGGTAAATTAATAAAAGACAGACAAAATGATACCTCATCTGGCAGCCCAGACAGAAGTGGGTGTTTTTGTGATCTCAACATAATTATTCCTTTTTTTCCTATATTTATATATAATACCTAGGAATTACAATGGCTCAAAAAGCTTACTGTGTATTTCCCTTTGCATGTGACTGTTGACAAATGTATCATTTTAAGATGGTGAAACAACTTATCTGTATAGATAACTTTTAGGTCTTGTAGTGTACCTCAGATATACAGGTCTTGTAGTGTACCTCAGATATACAGGTCTTGCAGTGTACCTCATGTATACAGGTGTTGTAGTGTACCTCAGATATACAGGTCTTGTAGTGTACCTCAGATATACAGGTCTTGTAGTGTGCCTCAGGTATACAGGTCTCGTAGTGTACCTCAGGTATACAGGCAGCAGATAGGACTGTACATATTTTTTTGCAAAGATTTTCATCTAGCCAAAATGAAATGGACTCCTCTAGTATTATGAAAGTATTAAAAATATTGCCATTTACAAACTATTAATTTTATGTTAAATATTTCCAATAAAGTAAAATCATGCTGTGATTTAAAGGGTTTTTGCATTAAAGATAATTCCATGATGTTGTCTTTTCAAATATACATCTATACATATACTGTTTAGATATTATGGGAGAAAGTATTAAATTTAAGATCATTTAATTACTAATATGTATTTAAAAAAATAAACCTGTTATATTTGTTTTGTTAGCTTGATTTGTAAAGAATTGTTTTGTTTGCCAATGTTAAATAAAATGGGTAAATAAGTGATATGCCAAGCAAGTCTTCATCAGTTCTTGTTAAAAGACATTAAATATTTTCATCATTTCTTTTATTCCAAAAAAAAAATAATTAACAGAATAAAACAAAGACATTAAAATTTTGTTTATTTTAATAATAGTCTCCAATCATAACAAACCATGATAAAAATAAAGACATTGTTGACTGGAACATTCTCACAGCTGGTTACAAGTAAATGACGTTTGTTTTAATAACTATGAGACAAAACTGTGTTTAACTTACCATTTCTGCACATGTATGAAGTAATACAGTAGAGTCCTAATAACTTGTCACCTCGTAACTCAAATGATCAATATCTTATACAAATTTTGTGTAGCAATTTATAATATTAAATGAAACTTTTGAACACCACCTTAGTCAAATCTTTGTATAACTCCAATAAATTTTCCAATCCCAAAAGACTGAATTTTGTGAGTCTTTATTTTGTGTCTGCAGCAAAAAGAGCCATGTGGATAAATAACATACAACCCTATGGGTAAACTTGGGAAGAAATTCTGCCAATATTTTGTCCTTCTCTGCCAATGTGTATCAGTTAATATAGCCTTTTGTCTCTTCAACAAAGTCACTGTTTTTCACAAACCTAAACCTAAAGTCATTTCTTTATTTCATTTTACATCCATTTGGCTACTTTGAAGTTTTTTATTCTTGGGTTTTAGTGGACTTTTCATAGCTTCATGTCTCTCTCTAATAAGGGAATTCTGGTTTTCTGCATTATCCTTGGCAAATTGAACTTCTTTATACAGCTCAACAACTCTTTCCTAAAAGGAGTGACAAGCACAATTATACCAAGTAAATATTTATCTTTTTATTACTTGCTAATATTTTTTAAAAATCCAGTCTCTATTATAAAAAATCAATCCATCTTCTGGCAGTGCCAAACAACACTGGTTGCAAACCAAGACTGTGTAACAGTGTGTTCAGATTCAAACATCGTACCATTTCAACAGGAGATTCTCGCTTAATATTTTCAGTGTAATTAGCTTAATTGTCTGACATGCCTCCTGGATGTCTAGGAGCCGGGCAATCAACTTTCATGTGCATTCAGCTTAGTTACCCCCTAGAAACTTGAGGAGGCATGTCAGACATTTATGTCAATTACTGTGATTGCACTTAGGGAGAATTCCTCCCAGAGTTTGATTAATCCAGCTAGTTTATCTGAAATAACCACTCCCTTAATAATAAGACCTCAGAGAATAAAAGTACTTACAGCAAGTTTTCTTTCTTTCATCCTTTTCCTTACTTGGGTCCCCGACAAGGGCGCAGGCCTTCCATCTGTAAAAAAGGTGACTTTTTCAGAAAAAGGGGATGTAGATATACAGCTACAACTTACAATGGCGTTGCATTATTTGTACTGTACTGTACTGTACATCATTCTAAATTAATCAATGACATTTCATTTGTGTATTAATTGACTCACCTGCAAACGACCAATCTGGCAAGTTTTTCAATGGCCCATCAGTATTGTAGTCACCATCCAGCCCTTGTCTGAAGAAATATTATACAATTATACAAAAGAGATGGTCATATTTTTTTCCTCAATTTTTTGGTTTCAATTAATTACTTCTCAACTGTTTGTTTAAGTATGTAAACATGTACGGATCTTGCCCTCGCATTACCTTGCTATACTCACTTTTCTCTCCACTTCCCTCCAACTGCAACCAGTGGGCTGCCATGGAAAGACTTAACAGACAGAAATGTGCATCTTCCACACAGAAACAGATCTGGAATATCAACATAAGATTAATCACTCAGCCTCATCTACCGGTAAAAATTATGATCAAATAGCTGTAAGTGCAAGTATAATAAAAACTAATAAGAAGTTGTCATAAACATGTAGTATATGTATAACTTGTGCCAAAATAAGAGGTATCACTCAGCCTCATCTGCAGGTGAAATGACCAAACAGCTGTTACTGCAAGTACAATAACAACTGATATGCAGTTCTCATGAACATATATAAAACTTGTCCCAATTTTTCCTGTCGATTGTGCTACAATATCCAAATAGTTAATAATTGCGACCCCCCCCCCCTCCGTTCACCCCCTTTCCACATGTGATCCCAGCAAGGCGAAAACATTATGAATCATGTTAAAGTTCCTTCTCAAATAATAAAACGAGAATCAACACAATGCAGTCAGGAAACACAGTTGACCCTAATACTGTTTCTCAAATACAATACATGAGTATAAATAGATTGTTTGTAAGAAATAATATTACCTGAAATCGTTCTCCTGAGTGCAGCCATTTGTGTTTATAGTCGGTGCGTCACTGCGCGTGCGAACTAGGCCAAACAGCAAAACTTCCGGTTTAGCTGCTGAGGAAATAGAAAGTGGACTGTGAAATTTTCTATCGTAAGTTTTGTGTCTTTATTATAAATGAACACTCTTGTAGATTTTGTTTTACAACTAGAATGCTACATAGATTTAGAGCACACGCCCTTTTTCTTGTTTTATGAAGGGAATTTTTGTAGAAATTATTTAACTAAATGGGAAAATCCCAAGCGGGAAAATCCCAATTAATTGGGTGCCATTTAAATTTCGTCAGTGACGATCGAGTGACTTTAACAAACTAGTTTATTTATATATTTTAAAGTGTTATTTAAATGTATTCTAAAAGAAGTTATGTATTATTTTTAATCAGTAAAAAATTATTGGTGTTTAATTGAGTCGATATAATTAACATCTTGACTTTAGATACTGGTTAATGGAGGGCAATGTGTAATGACATGAACAACCCATGATGGCATCTCCCAGTCCCACGGATCCTCCAAAGGAAGCAGTTCCACAAATACAGAGCCGTAAACTACGCATATGTGAGCTGATTGGAAGTGGCGCATTTGGGAAAGTGTACAAGGCTGAGCATACGGAACTGCACCACAGTGTGGCAGTGAAGTGCATATGCAGTGAATATGGATTAGATGCAAGGCATGTGTAAAGTGCGGTGGCCCACAAGTGCACTCCAAATTCCAAACGACACTCCCAATTCTAAACCTCACTCCGAATATTTAAACTTCACTCTCAATTCTTAAACCTCACTCCGAATATTTAAACTTCACTCTCAATTCTTAAACCTCACTCTGAATTCGTAAACCCCACTCCGAATTCGCAAACCTCACTCCGAATTCG